CTTGGTGAGACCTCATCTCTACAATAAATAAAAAAAAATTAGCTGGGCATGGTAGCGCGCGCCTATAGTTCCAGCTACTTGGAAGGCTGAGGCGGAAGAATTGCTGGATCCCAGCAGATCGAGGCTGCGGTGGCTGGGAGTGGCCACTGCATTCCAGTCTGGGTGGCAGAGTGAGACTCCAACTCAAAAAAAACAAAACAAAACAAAAACTCAATGGGGAAAAAAATTCAGTGGAGCACTGAGAATGAATCACAGCTACATGTAGCAATACGAATGGTCAAGCTATATTATTAAACAATAAAAACAGCAAAAAAAATGCAGAATGACTACATTTATATAATGTTAAAAAGACATGCAAAACTAAACACAATATTGCCTAAGAACACAAACATGTGGCAAAACTATTTTTTTAAAAAAGGAAAAAATGGCCAGGCACAGAGGCTCAAGCCTGTAATCCCAGCACTTTGGGAGGCCAAGGTAAGAGCATTGCCTGAGCCCAGGGGTTCTAGACCAGCTGGGGCAAGTTAGGAAGACCTCGTCTCTACAATACATCAAAAAAATAGCAGGGTGTGGTAGCGTGTGCCTGTAGTGCCAGCTACTTGGAAGGCTGAGGCAGAAGGATTGCCAGAGCCAAGCAGGTTGACGTTGGGGTGGCTGTGAGTGTGCCACGGCACTCCAGCCTGGACAACAGAGTGAGACTCCAACTCAAAAAAAAAAAAAAAAAAAAAAAAAATAGACAAATTGTCTATTTGATGCAAAAATGACAGCAATATACTGAGTTCATAACATACTTACAAGCAATACTATAATATTGTTAGAAGATAAACCATAATAATTTAAAGATTTCTGTAAACTCTAAAACAACCACATAACACACATATATATAGTTGATAAGCCAATGAAAGAGGTAAAAATACTTAAAAGATGGCCCAAACAAAGAGAAAAATTAATGGGACAAATGAAAAGTAGGAATATGATAGATTTAAACCTAACCAAATTACATCAATAATCATATTAAAGGACCTAAAATACCAATGAAAAAGCAGACTGTCAGATTACATCAATAATCATATTAAATGACCTAAAATACCAATGAAAAAGCAGACTGTCAGACTGAAATAAAAAGTAAGACTCAAATTAAATAAAAAGACTAGAAAAGGTTTAAAGTAAAATGATGAAAGACACACCATGCTAACACTAATTTAATAAGCTGGAGCAGTTAATACATATTAACATCAAAATATGATTCAGAGCAAATATTACGAGGTTGATAAAGAGGGTCATTTCATAAGGTTAAAAAGGTCAATTCAACAAGAATTAACAATACTGAATACTTATGTATCTAATAATAAAGCTTCAAAATACATGAAGCAAAAACCTGACAGAACTGAAAGAAGAAAGGCCAGGCACTATGGCTCATGCCTGTAATCCCACCTCTTTGGGAGGTTGAAGCAAGAGGATTGCCAGAGAGCCCCCAGGTTAAAGACTAGCCTGGGCAACACAGTGAGACCTCATTTATACAATAAATCTAAAAAATCAGCTGGGCATGGTGGCGTGTGCCTGTAGTTCCAACTACTTCAAAGGCTGAAACAGAAGGATCACCTGAGCCTAGCAGGTCGAGGCTGAGGTGGCCATGAGCAGAGTGCCACTGTACTTCAGCCTAGGTGACAGAGTGAGACTTCGACTCAAAAAAAAAAAAAAAAAAAACTGAAAGAAAAAGACATACAAATTCACAAATAAGTGGAGATTTCAATACTCTTCCCTCCATAACTGATAGAGCAATTAGACAGAAAACAACACTACCAGCCTACTGGATCTAACTGATTATTTAAAGAACAGTCTACCCAACAATAAGACTACACATTCTTTTCAAAGGCACACAGATAATTTACCTAGACAGACCATATTCTAGACCATAAAAGAAATCTCAAATGGAAAAACATTCAAGTTAAAGTATGTATGATTTCTATGATCAATAACAGAAACTTTTGGAAAATTTTCAAGTATTTGAACACTAAACACATGTCTAAATGACCCAAGGATCAATGAAGAAATAAAAAAAGGAAATAAAAAGTACTTTGAACTGAATGAAAATATGACATTAAAATTTGTGGTGGCCGGGCACAGTGGCTCATGCCTGTAATCCTAGCACTTTGGGAGGCAAGAGGACTGTCTGAACCCAGAGGTTCAAGACCAGCCTGGGTAACTTGGCGAGATCTCATCTCTACAATATGTCAAAAAAATTAGCTGGACATGGTGGCGTGTGCCTGTGGTTCTAGCTACTTGGAAGGCTGAGGTGGAAGGATCGCCTGAATCCAGCAGGTTGAGGCTGTGGTGGCCATCAGCATGCCAGTGCACTCCAGCCTGGGCGATACGGTGAGACTATGACTCAAAAAATAAAAAAATAAAATATGTGAGATACAGCTAAGGTAGTACTTAGAGAGGAATTTATAGCACTAATACCTATAAGATCTCATATCAATAACTTAAGCTTCTACCTTAAAAAACTAGAAAAAGAGTCAATTAAACCCAACATAACCAAAAGAAAGAGTTGAAATCGAAAACAGAAAAGACAAAAAAAAAAGTGAAATAAAAAACTGATTTTTGAGAAGATAAAAAATACTGTATTAACACAGAAATCTATGAAAGCAAGGAGTTGAGAAACTAAACTAATTTACTTACGACAAAGATAAACATTTCAAAATCATTGTGAAAATTACAAATTTTTAATAATGTTCTGACACAGTTTAGTTATCCGTTCTGAAAAAATAGATCCCTTCCTCAACATGATTCAGAAATAGAAAATTATAGATGGATGAAATAGCCCAACACCCCTAAAGGGGAAGCTATTATCTATGAAGCAACTTCTATGTACCAGGAATTAATCAGACTTTAAAATCTTTAGAAAGAATTAATACCACATCTGTCTTGTGGTTTCAGGGACCACACCTCATCTTTATACCATCATTCTAAGATGTATAGCATAACACATTTTTTTTTTTTTGAGTTGGAGTCTCACTCTTGCCCAGGCTGGAGTGCAGTGGCACACCAGCATCAGGCCACCCCAGCATCGACCTGCCAGACTCCAGCGATCCTGCTGCCTCAGCCTTCCAAGTAGCCAGAACTACAGGCATGCACTACCACGCCCAGTTAATTTTTAATTTATTTATTGTAGAGAGGAGGTCTTGTCAAGTTGCCTGGGCTGGTCTCGAACTTGCAGGTTCTGGCAATCTACTCGCCTTGGCCTCTCAAAGTGCTAGGATTACAGGCGGAGCCACCGAGCCCAGCTCATGCTACTTTTTTTTTTAACA